GGGGGAAAACAAGAAAACTGAACCAAAAAAATCAAAACGAAAAAAACTTTGGGGGGAATTAAAAAAAAAAAAAAAAAAAAAAAAAAGCCTGCTGGAACTGGATTTTGTACGCAGCACTGCAGTAGATGGACAATAACCTCATGTCTCCTTCCGTCGATGAGGAATGGAAGAAATATCACAGAACAAAAACACCCAGGGTAGTTGTAGTTTTTTCCCCTTTAATGTTAAATGCAAAATCATAACTTACTTTTTATGCTGTAGTAAAAATTCAAGGGAGAAATCAAGTGGAATGGTTATGGAAATAAATGGGAGTGAGATAGACATTTTGCCAATGAGCAGTGACTTTGATACATTTTGTTTGTCCTGTCCAGGAGATAAGAGCTGACCAATCTCTGCCCTTTGTACATGAATCATATTTAACGCAGCATGACGCAGATAAAAGGTAAGTCGATACTCAAAGTCAGCAGAGCGTGAAGTTGTTTGCGATTAGAGCGTGCTAGCGTTTGTTTTAACTCAAGCTGTCTATTTTTAAAGCAGGGGTCATTTTACAAGTTACAAAACATATGTAGTCATTTTAAATTGTGCTGAGCAATTAAAGAATTTCAACAACTCATTGAGTAACAGAATGTCCAACAAAAATAAAACATAGGGCTTTAACATTCAATAAAACAATACATATGGCACAAGAAACAATTCAAGCATTTCTACAGGATTGAGACTATAAACTGTAGTGCAAATTTATGTCATTTTCTGTGTACACTCAAACACATTTGTAACACAAATGGTTTTTACATCAATATATTCCTTGAAGTGTCAGTTTTTTTACAAAAAGATTAGAACAAAAAAGTCTGTTATTACTTTCACACCATGGGGAAGACTACTTTCCATAAAGAGGGGTACGGCATTGCTAAAAAACAAATAAAAAAAACTGGGTGTTCAGAGTGCTATAACCAAGTATATTAATTAAAAGCTTAGTGGAAGGACAAAATGTAGTAAAAACAGGAGCAGATTACACAGAAAACTGAAGCTTGAGGAAAATTGTGAAGTAAAAATGACTCAAAGTTGGGGGAAGACACTCAAGGACTGAACTGTAGCTGGACGCAACCAGAGCATGGGCTACAACTGTCAAAGTGGTAAAGCACAGAGTCCAAGTTGCTTGAGGTTTAGTGTTAAGTTCCAATGTTTGCAAACCTTTACGGAGCCAGGCCATCTGCTCCCGCTTCTCTATGGTTTCTTAAGTCAAGTGCAAGTCTATCAGGAGGTTTTAGAGCACTCTCTCTTTCCATCAGGTGGTAAGCTGTATGGAAGTAGTGCCAAAAGTATCAATACCTTTAATAACTATGGTACTGTAATTAACTGGCCAGTGGACTCACCTGACCAAGAGAATCTGTGGGCTGATTTAAGGAGAAAGCTGGGACACCAAAGCCTACAATGCAGCTCAACTGAAAGTCACCATTATAGCATCCTAGCATTCTTATCTCAGAAACAGATTAATCGTCTCCATGCCACACCACACTGATGCATTAACTAATGCAAAAGGAATACCAAGCAAATACTGAATGAATATGTACTTAAACCAATTAATATGTCCACAATTGCATCAAAAGTCCTTTTGAGTGTTACAATCTTTTCCAAGTAAATTCAATTTGGGGTTTTCATAAGCCTCAATGAACAGAAATTAACCCCTAAAAATCTTTCAGCATATTGTGAATTCATCTAGCATAGATTTAACAGAATTTTTTAAAAAGACCTTTTCATTCTAATAAGACATGTGGAGGTTTGTGTTTGTGCAACTTACTCTGACTGTCCTGAAGTTGGCCGCATCATCCAGCCCACTGACCGTGGCAGAGTCCAGGCTCAGGTAGTTGTACTTGCTGAAGTCTCGCTCCAGCTTGAGCTTTTCTGTGACAAACAATGTGGTTGATCTTTAATCTGCATTTGCTTGCAGTATGTTTAATTAACAATCAAAGCCTCAATTCCATTGAATTTACAATGCACACCTGGACATTCATAGCCAAGAGGCATTGCCATGGCAAACACCACAACAAAAAAACCCACACAATAGTCATTCAAAAGAACTTTTGCACAATGCTTCCACAAATGAGTTATTGCTGTGACCACTGTTCTCTGGGCTTGAATTGCAAACTTAAAAGCCCACCCCATGTAGAAACAAAGAAATCTATTCCTCTTGTGGGCGCACGTGTCGGGTTTCATTAGTGGCTACATTAACTACAGCAAAACCCAGCCTCTCTGATGCGAGTACTCTAGGGGTCGATGACCATTATATTGTTCAGGACATAAAACAATGCCTTCAGAGCAGAGAAAGGCAAACAGAGGGAACAGGTTTCATTGCCTGGCTTTGTTCAGCGCAGTGTTCGTTAGGCAGGAAGATCAGGTCGTTAATGTGTAAGCCATGTGTTCCTGCAGCTGCAGACCTGCTGGAGGATGTTTTTAACGCAAGATTTTCACAGAAGCAACTGGACAATTGTTATAGCAAAATGTCCAATTATGATCACCACCCAACATCACATCAATGTGAGGCAAAGGACAAAACAATTGTCAGTCTGGATTTTCCAGCAGCTGCTGTTCTGATGTTTGCTTCATTAATTCTTGTGAGTCATGTACAGTTTGAAGCTGCAACTTCTTTCATAAAATATTTGCTACATTATTTAATTAGTCTGCATTATGCTACTTTGGCACGATACAGATTGTAGTTTGGATTTTGTTCCCAGTATTTTACAATGCCATTTCGTTTTAATTTCCAGTCATAACATTCACATTAATATTTGCATGGCTTTTATTTGGCTTCAACAACCTTTCAGAAAACTTACTCAGCGTGTCGTCTGGAGCTCCAGACAGGAGCTGATAAAAGATGTGGAAGTTCCTCTCTCCTCTAGGCTGTTTCACCACTCGTGACTTCTCCAGCAGATCTATAAGAAAACAAAAGGAAACTATGACACACAGGTCGCCTTTACAGGAAGTTTTTTTTTTTTTTTTTTTTTTTTTTT